TTTTTTTTTTTTTTTCTCTCTCTCTCTCTCTCTCTCTCTCTCTCTCTCTCTCTCTCTCTCTCTCTCTCTCTCTCTCTCTCTCTCTTGCAGTGACGTTTGCATCTGACAGCTCCCTCGTCCATACTCACACGCTGACACAACGGGATTTCTTTTCAATGTATCTGTCCGTGGTGGTGTATCTTTCTATGTTCTTGCGGAAGATTCCTTCTCATTTTGCACATTGGCAGGCTGCTTAGTTGATGCACACGTGAAAAAAAAAGTAAAAAAAAAAAGTGTGGCAGTGCAGGGACACCAGCCCATACGTACGGAGGTCCTCGGGCAGACCTCCGTACGTACGGGCGTTCGGGGTCCCGTACGGCGTCCGAACCCGACGGCGTTTGGCCCCCGCCAAAAATTATTTTGGGGCCTAAAAATAATTATTTTTTTCTGAAGTTTTTTATGTCTGTTCTCTATGACATGATGTACACGTCTTTAAATTTTCAAGTCATTTGGCTAAGTTAAATAGGAATTAAAAATCGCCAAAGATGGCGGTGTCAAAACGTGCTCGCCCACGTATTTTTTCACTTTTTACTTTTTGTTTTCGCTTTAGTTCGGGGATCTAAACAATTTTATTATTTTTTGAAACCTTTTTAGTGGGTTTTGTATTATGTGAAGTACACATCTGTAAATTTTCAGGGGATTTAGCTATGCCAAAAAAAATGAAAAATCGCCAAGGATGGCGGTGTTGAAAACATGCTCGCGCACTCACTAAATTTAATTCTCTTTTTATTTTTATTTATTTTTATTATTAGTATTTATTTTCCGTATTTTATTTTTATTTCAAATTTGGTAAGGAATTCGGATGTAATGCTCAGGTAAATCTTGTTTAATGTATTTTTCTCCATAACATATCTTTTTTTCAGATTGTTTTGATTTTTTTGTTTTTATTTTTTTTTGTTTTAGGCTCCGCGTTCGGCCCAAACGGCCAAGCGCATCCCTAAGGGGTCCCATACGTTCGGGCGTTCGGGTTCGGGCGTTTGGCCCGTCCCGAATGCCGGTTACCCTGTGGCAGTGTATATTTCCATGTTCTGGCTGAAGATTCGTTCCAGTTTTGCTCATCCTACGCACACACACACACAGACTGGCATTGACGTGCTTCCTGCCCTGTATAGACAGGACAAGAGGACGGCTTCGCCTCGCTGGGTCCACTTGTTGTACTATTAAAAGGTAGAAAGGGCCCAGCGACACACGTGACCGCGGGCCCACGAGATACCATGCGGGTTTGAAGCAGGGGCCAGGCGCAGGACCGCGGCGGCCTTCGTGTCGTTTTCGCGGTGGACCAGCTGCGCAGGATCCATTTGAGGTTTCGCGGGCGCTGTGCAGGATAGCAATTCTTTCCCATTGGTCCCCGCGTTTGGACGCTGGGTGTTGCTGTAGACGTCCCGAAACTTCGGAATTGGGAGACATCGAGGGAGGAGGAGCTGGTGAGGACAATAGCCAACGGTTATGCGACAACGATCATGACACGCACGCTCACGAGCACGACCATGCAGGGGGAAGGATGGATTATGGAGGTAACGATGGAGGAGGGAAACATAGGGGGAGGAAGAGTGGGTGAGGACAAGAGAAAACGGGTGTCCGACGATAATCTTTAACATGCACAGCCATGAGCTCCACCACATACGGGGGAGGATGGATGACGGAGGTAAGGATGGAGGAAGAGGGAAGAGGGACAGAGGAGAGGGGATCCTGGTGAGCATGGAGGAAGAGGGAAGGTGGAGGGAGGAGAGGGGATCCTGGTGAGTATGGAGGAAGGGGGAAGGAGGGAGGAGAGGGGATCCTGGTGAGCAGAAGGAGGTACAGGAGGAGGAGGAGAAGCGGGAGAATGAGCTGGAGGAGGAGCGGGAGGAGCGGGAGGAGGAGCGGGAGGAGCGGGAGGAGGGACGGGGGGAAGAACAAGGGACGCAGTGGGAGGAGGAGGAGGAGCAGGAGGAGCGGGAGGAGCAACAGGATGGGGAGCAGGAGAAGGACAGGGAGGAGTAGCGGGAGGAGGAGCGGGAGAAGGAGCGGGAGCAGGTGGAGGAGCGGGAGGAGGACAAAGTTATGGTGGAGGAGCAGCAGGAGGTCAACCTCTCTCTCTGTGGCTAGCCACGTGGTGGACCCTTTTTCTTTTTTTTTCGTAGGAGATGGCTATGGCGGGATCTTTGTCACGTTGTTTGGCAGAGGAGGAGCGGGAGGAGCAGGAGAAGGAGCGGGAGAAGGAGTGGGAGAAGGAGTGGGAGAGGGAGGAGGAGCGGGAGGAGGAGCGGGAGGAGGAGCGGGAGGAGGAGCGGAGAAGGAGCGGGAGGGGAAACGGGAAGGGGCAGATGAGGCGCGGGTGCCGTTTTCTTTTTCTTTATTCGTAGGAGATGGCTATGGCAGGATCTTTGTCACGTTGTTTGGCGGAGGAGGAGCGGTAGGAGGAGCGGAAGGAGCAGGAGAAGGAGCGGGAGGAGCGGGAGAAGGAGAAGGAGAAGGAGCGGGAGAAGGGGGAGAAGTGGGAGGAGGAGCAAAGGAAGAGCGGGAGGCATAACTGGAGAAGGAAAGGGAGGGGAAACGGGAGGGGGTGGAGGCGGCGTGGGAGGAGGAGCGGGAAAAGGAGTGGGAGGAGGAGCGGGAGGAGGAGCAGAAGGGGAAACGGGGAGGGGAGTGGTAGGAGGAGTGAGAGGAGGAGCGGGAGGATGAGCCGGAGGAGAAACGGGGAGGGGGTTAACGATCGCGTGGGAGGCGGGTAAGGAGATCTTTGTCACGTTCTTTGGCGGAGGAGGAGCGGGAGAAGGATCGGGAGGAGGAGTGGGAGAATGAGCGAGAGAATGAGCGGGAGAAGGAGGAGGAGTGGGAGGAGGACAAGGAGAAGAAGCGGGAGGAGGAGTTGGAGAAGGAGCGGGAGGGGAAACGGGAAGAGGCGGAGGAGGCGAAGAGGAGGAACGGGAGAAGGAGCAGGATGGGAAACAGGGAGGACGTTAGGAGCGGGAGAAGGATCGGGAGGGGAAACAGGGAGGACGTTAGGAGGGGGAAAAGGAGGAGGGAAAAGGAGAAGGAGGGAAAAGGAGGAGGGAAAAGGAGAAGGAGGGAAAACGAGAAAGGGTGGAAAAGGAGCGGGAGAAGGAGCGGGAGGAGGAGGGGGAGACAAGGCGGAAGAAGGAGCGGGAGGGGAAACGGGGAGGGGGGTAACGAACGCGGGGGAGGCGGGTTAGGAAAGCAGATGGAGGGAAGCTTAGGGAGGAAAGGGAGGAAAGGGGTGAGGGGGGTGAGGGGTGGATAGGGGCCCACTCTCTCTGTCTCACACACACACACACACACACACACACACACACACACACACACACACACACACACACACACACACACACTTGATTAATCAATCAATCAATCAATCATTTCGATTGATAAATTGATTGATTGATTGGCTTATTTTTCGTTTTCTGTTCGAAAAAATCAGGGGGGTGGAGGGTTGACAGGAGGCACGGGAGTGGGTTGATTAATTGATTGATTCATTGATTGGTCGATTGATTGATTGATCGATTGTCAATGAATTAGATCGATTGGAGAAAAAAAAAGATTGGTCCGTTGTCGGTGCGAATACCCTTACAAGGGTATCCACCCTGGTTTTTGCAAGTGACAAAAAATAAGCTCGATTCGAAATTTCAGTATGTCGTGCGAGTCGCGACAATGTTTCTTTTTATTTTGGCTTAATGTTTGACTAGGAATAAAAAGTGTGTGGGTACGCAGTTTCGAGGCATAAATGAATTTTCTTTTGTTGATGTTATAGAACCGACGTATCCGCCGGCCAACTTATGACTTTGATTAAAATATGATTAAGGTGAGCCTCTCTGTTGATGTGATCGTGGTGTGTGTAAGCTCATGAGGAGGTTCACTTCGATAATAGTGCGACTTTTGTGTGGTGAACAAAGTGAACCGTGGGGTAAAAACACAGGTTAGACGTCTGTGCCGAAGACACGAGAGCTTGACGACCATGATCTTAGTCGGTGGGCCAAGGTGTGGCCTTGATATGTGTTGATAGGGCCGAGCGTCGCGCAATACTCACTCACATAGATTAGTGTGGCTGCTAATGTCGGCCTTGGGCCTAGCACTATTGGTTACGCCATCGGATTTTCATATGGAGGATACAGGGTTCGAGGCCAGCGGGCGGTGACGTAGGAATATTGGAGCAGTGCGAAAAGGCCAAGAGGTTGAGGGCCCGACGTCGCTAGTCCCCATGGTTTTGCTGCCCGTGGGGCTGAAACAGTACTAGCGGTCCTTTTTCTTCCCCTCGCCCTTCGGTTTCGTCTTTATTCTCTTAATTATTATTTACTTTCATTATTATTTATTGTTATTTTTATTATTTTTATTTGTTTGTCTTCCTTGAGTCGGCGTGATACCGATTTTAGAAATCATTGACGAGACCACCGGCTTAGCTCAGTTAGTGCAACCTCTGACTATAGAGATGCGTACCAGAGTTTGAACGGTGGGCTGCATTGTCGCCCCTTGTTTGACGTAGGGTGCCTGCTGACATGGGTTGTTGTGGATGGCACATCTGGCAAATGAGGAGCGATCGAAAACCCTCATGGATGGTGTCACGGTCGTCAAGGACTTTGAGCGCAAGCCTCATTTGATAGGCCCGGTCAAGGTACCTGCGTGCTCGGGATGCTGGCGAAACTCTACTATTCTGCCCAACTTGAAAAGAGGGACCGAGGAGGTTAACTTACATGTGAGTCGTGGGTGTTTAGCCCACGAGGCGGAAGAAACCTAAGTGACGGGCTCCCTGTGGGTGCTCCGTCTGCCATTCGCAATCTGTTGTGAGGGGTTTGAGTGCAAGCAGGCCCCGTTGGAAACCCGAAAGTTGATGAACTATGCTTGAGCAGGGTGAACCTAGCCCAACTGCCACACCAATGAATTGTTTAAATACAGACTCAAGATCGGATCCTGATACCCTCAAATGAAGGGAATAGAATCATTCTCCATCGCTTGCGGACCAGTCAGCTCAATGATGATATCTCAAGGCCGCCGCCCTGCCGCTGTCCTTTGGGACATCCGTTAAAATCGGAACGATACAGAGAAGATGAGCATGACCCCGTGAGATTAACCGGTATAAATAAGGGGCGGGGCGGGCCTGTTTTTTTTTCATTCTTCTCTTTTGACCAGGACAATATATGCGCTGTCGGACCGGGCACTATTGAGAAAAAGGTTGACACCAACGAGAACGGGAAGGTGAAGTGAAAAACAATAGTGGAAATGAGAGGGAAGGAAGTTGAAGTGGAGGAAAGAAAAAGTGAATGAAACGAAGGCGAGGTAGATGAAGGTGAGGAAAGTGTGGGTCCATAAATATGGATAAGGTATGAGAGGGCGAGATTAGAAAAAGAGGCGAAGGAGAAGGAGTGAACCTGGACGCAGATTCAGGCCAGCTACATTAAAAAACGGGAACAAAGATGGCAAAGCAGAGAAAGATTGATATGCAATCGTGCGCCTACTGCCATCGCCCAAGGCAATCCTAATAGTACAGAATAGGAGCGCACATCTATCACGAGCGTGTTGACCAAGACGTGTACGCGTCCAACCTTTACCGCCACGTTTTCAATAATGCCTACGATATTCATTGCTTCCTCGTCGGCGGAGACATAATTGTSTTTGCCAGATTGAGGAAGAATGGATCCGAGTCGTCCCGTCTTTCTGACAGTGTTTAATGATATGGCTACTGCAAAAAACCCAGTGTCGATAAGGGCATTAAACGGCTTGCCCCAAATTTCGCAATCACACTCCGCGCTTTTCCATAGCACCGGCCGAGCTCGTACGAAGTGATCTTTCTCTACTTAAGAGATCATTGCTATTCGTGCGGCCTTAGGTTCACCGGCTTCGGGTTGTGCCACTTCCTCATTTCCTTCCTTCTTCTTTAACATCCGTTGTATGCGTTGATAGGTGAAGCGCTTTTGATTTTTCTGGCAATGCTGTAAAAGTTTATCATTCGGTGCTTCAGATATGGTGAGCAAATGTCCCATCGGGATCGGAACACGAATATCTAGTTGTTTGAGTGCTTGCAGCACGTCAATCTCTCTTGTTCGGAACTGCGAACCAGAATTGGATTGGCGATCGACCCATTCGAGATCATCAGGGGCCGATCGGATTGCTCCGACCATGCCTGCAAGATGAAGATATTCGAGTGGATTGACCACGTCCGCAACGTTAGAGGGAGAAGCTCCTGATATCGACGCCATTGTCTTCGAGGGGGAAGGCTGCTCTGGGGCATATGCCACAAGCTCTCCTCCCTGGGCTGTATCCATCAAAGCGGTCACTCGTCCTTGATTCAGGGTCACGGGGGCCACTGCAGGTGGGGGCTGACTACGTTTTGGCTGCGGACAGTCTCGGGCGAAATGTCCAGGCTGTTTGCAGTTAAAACACTCGATCTTTTCGGCTGGATTGGCTAGGTGAGGGAACTGAGGTGTGTACCCTGGAGCAGGCGGGGCAGGTAAGAGTGGAAATGATGCGGGGGCCGGCCGAGCAGAGGCCGGGTTAGGCTTGATTAACCTACTCATTATCTGTTCCATCCGTTCCATGTGAGCGGCTTGCATTTGGATCAAGTTGCTCATCCATTCGGACTGCTTGGTAGTGGCCGTATGGATCATCTGGGCAAGGTGTAAGTTGGTTATGGCCGGCGAGGAGGGTTCGGGTGAGATTCCGCTTTTAATGACTGCGATCGATTGATTCACCGGGGGAGAGGAGGAAGAAGCAGGCGGGGTATCGGAAACGATCCCGCCGGGAAGGTCATGGTCTGGGCGGGGATAAAACCGTTCGACGGCTTGCAGCCATGATCGCCTTTAGGCCGTTACATCTCATATGGTATCTATAATGTCTTCGTCTCCTTGGTTGATATACTTTTTTGCATCAGCCAGGTCCAGTTCCAATGCTTTAGTGATGATAGCCGATAACTGGTGTGTTTTCGGCGGGACCTTTTTCTGCAGTTTGCCTTTCAATGTAGGACTTCGTAGGTGGTCGATGAACAAATCCCGAGCGGATTTCTCGTCTCGCCCGGATTTGTCCAGCGTGGTTTGAAATCGATCGACAAAATCGGGTAACAATTCCCCTTGTCCTTGTGGCCGATTTCTGAGCACGTACTAGGCGGCATCTTCACTGACCGTATTGAATCGAGCCAGGAAGGCTTGCTTGAAAGTATCCCAATCTACCCACGTGTGTTTTCTAAACCAGTCATGCAACGTATTGCGAAGTAACAATGTCAGAACGCGAGGAAGATCGGATGCGTTGTAGTTTTGAGCTTCTACAGCTTCCAGCCAAGCCTCGGGATGGGTATGATTCGGGAAGAATGGGAAGGGGGCGGGGATACTAACGATCACCCTAGTACCGTCCACCATTGGTGCTGCGGGTGCAGCCGCACCAGACTGAGACCGGGTCACTGGGCGATCCCGATGAGCTAGTTGAGGGTCTCTCCTACCTCTCGCCAATTCGACTTACTATCATCAGAACCGACACGTGTCGGCTCCAATACCAACCTCGGCATCAGTTTTATCACGGAGCGGGTTTTTGACGCATAGCTGTTACAGCCACGCGGCCACATCTCAAAGATTCGGCAAGTTTGTCACCCTTAGCTCAATGCGGATCTTCGGCGTTTGATGCGATTCTTCTGCGACGAAGGTATCTGTGCTGCCGCCGCGTTTCGAATCGAAGGAAGTCCTCACGCAGTAATATTCGCGGAGGTAACCGCAGTTAATCGGCGAGCGGGCCCCAGAACGA